AAAAAAAAAATCATACAGAGTTGGACATTACTGTACATTTTACCTAATTATGGCATTTGCAACAGTTGAAAAAACAAAACAAAGGACAGTATACGTATGTGTAAGGAAATAAGGCCGTGTGATCTGGAATCCCGTATGTATGTGTAGGAAGTTGGGGTGGGGCAGAGATCAGTTAAGGTTGGTGGAAAGGTTAGGAAAACTTCAAATCCCCAGCAGCTAAATACACTCAATGATAAGTGATTAGAGCAGAGTACATGTAATTAACTCTGCTTAAAAGGTTCTAGCCTTCTGTCAGGGCTTTTTGCCACAGCTCAATAGCACTGTGGCTATGGACTTCTTTTCTCGACTGGATCTTCAGGAGTGCCTCCAAACCTTCTCGGTTTTGCATTGGATCCCATTCTATGTATTGTTAGGTGAGTGAACTCTATGGGCTGGAGGGCACACGGAGCAGTACAAAAAAGAGGCCAGGAATCTCCAGAGAAGGAAGGAGCCACAGAGATTATTCTAGTGGGTCTCCTGACTCCAAAAATAAGTATGCCCCCGATCCAGCTTGATAGCTACTGCTGCATTCACCACTATATTTCTCTTCCCTTAATAGAGAGCACAAAAGCCAAGAATGAGGTTGTGGTCATTCTAGTTTAAAAGTCACCCTATCCTGCTCAGGACTTGCCCTATATGTAGTAGCTGTAGAGTCATATTTGGGGGTGGGAAGAGGGAAAAGGCCAGAGATGTAAGTGTAAGGTGATTTTCTAGAATTAAGACTGTGACAAGAGAATTATGGAAAATATGAGAGATTCCTGAATGCCTCATTGGACAGAATTTTTATTCCATTTTCCAGTGGAATCAGAGCACAGTAGTTATTAGTGCTGGCCAAATAGGCCAAAAGACTCAAGATTTGCCTAGCTAGAAACCAGGGCTTTGTGAAAACACAGAACATTGGGGATGTTTTCTTTCACCTGCATTTTGGCATAGAGGCAACAGATTTTAAAGTAGGGTATTTGGGTAGAGTTGTGATCCCTGAACACATTAGGAGGCTGAGTTGAGATCATGACATGAGAGAGAGACATGAAAATAAAGATTTACACAAGATTTTGAGATAGGACAGAATTGAATGGAGTTAGGAGACTAATATTTTATATTTGTAGAGCACTTTACACATTACAAAATGCTAGAACATGGTGTAGAGCTGGTGGAAGAGGCCATGCAAAGGGATTTGTCTCAGGCCTCTCTCTGCATATCCCAGTGATATGATCCAGGATATATCCCAGTGATTGAGCTGCAGAGAGAAGGAGCACCACAGTTTAAGGTCTTTGTCCATAGCAGTTTACTCTGTCTTCTTCCTTTCTTCTGAGCCTCCAAGAATGCACCTGTTTGTTAAATATAAGGTAAAACATTCCTCTCTAAAGGAGCGCCTCAGTCTCATTTGGAACTTATGTCCTCAATTTCCATCTGTTTCATCTGATAGTAAAAAACTACTGTGACTTTTCTTTTACTTATAATTTTGCATGACATTATCTATTTTTATCCTTTTATTTTAAGCCTTCTTATACCCTGATGTTTTAGATATACTTGTAAATATATGGCTGGATTTTTAAAAATACAATCTTTTGATCATAGCATTTATGCTTAATGTACTTACAGTTAGAATTTACTTGGGTTTAAATCTCTCCTTCTCACTTTTTATTTGTTTGTTCCACAAATTCTAGCTTTTGTTTCCTTTTACTTTTTAAGATTATAATTACATTAGTTTCTCTTTAGTCTTTTATTTTTATTTCTTTAGCTTTTATTTTGATTTTGGTGAATTTACAGTGCAAATTAGTTTTCTATTCAACAATTTATTCACATTTTGTTTTGTGACATTGATTGCAATCCCCAAAATATAACAGTATTCTCTTCCTTGCTGGGAATTGTGTTTCCCTCTGTCGTTTCTCATTCCTTCCTTATGAGCTTTATCTCTGGGTGGGAATTGTGTTTCCCTCTGTCCTTTCTCATTTCTTCCTTATGAGCTTTATCTCTGGGCTAAAACTGATCTTTAGGTTTCATACCATTTGATTGTTATAAGGAATTTGAACCTAATCTTTTAGATGTTTGATATCCTGTTTCTGCTTTTTTGTTTGTTTGGTGGTTAACAACAGTTATTGAGCAAATACACAGGCCTTGCACTGCCCTTGCTGAGACTACAACAATGAACCAAGTACAGGCCTGATTATTTATTAGCAGAGATAAGCCATTCATTCATCCATTGCTCAGAGTTTATGTGCTAGTACAGAGGCTTGTTTTAGGCCCTAGACATATACATAAACCACTACAATGTTTATCCAAATATAACTAGCTTTGGGTTAGCCTTTTTTTTAGGGCTTATTGATAAATGAAAAAGATCAGATATATGAAGCACAATTAATCCATCTAACATCATATTTGCTATATACTCATGTATAAGCCAAGTTTTCCAGCAAATTTTTAGTGCAGTTTCTGTGGTAAAATTAAGTGACTCCGCTGATATTCAGGTCAGCTTATACTCAAGTATATACGTAAGTGGCTTTATAAATACTGACTAAATATTAATAATTTAGTTTACTTAGTGTGAAAAATAAGGAGCCCTGGTGATGTAGTGTGTTCTGAGCTGAGCATTAAACACAAAGTCAGCAGTTTGAACCTACCATCCATTCTGAGGGAGAAAAGTAATACGTTTGTTCCCATAAAGATTTACAGCCTGAGAAATACTCAAGGAGGGTTTTACTCTGTTCAGTAGCATTACTCTGAGTCAGAATCAAGCTGATGGCTGTGAGTTTGGTGTTGGTTTATTATTAAAAAGAGAAAATATGCATTTTTATATATGTACATTATGGTTGGTAAAGTGGAAGGTCAAAAGAAAAGAGGAAGATCATCAATGAGATGGATTGGCACATGGCTGCAACATGGGCTCAAACATTAATAATAATTGTGAGGATGGTAAAGGACCAGGAACTGTTTCCTTCTGCGATACATAGCTTCACTATGAGTCAGAACTGACTGGACAAGCATCTTGTAACAACATGTGTATGTATGTATTCAATCAATCTATAGACATTTGTTGAACATTTATAGTTTACCAGGCGCTATTCTTAAATACTGAGGATTCAAAGAAAATTTATTTGAAGCAAAATATAAAGAAAGGGGACATTTAGACTACTGTTGATTAATTATGATTGTTATTTAACTTTATCTGAGTGGCCTTCTGAAGCATAACTGGGAAATTTGCTTCCCTCTTGAATTGGGTTCAGCAGTAGTAAAACTTTACTCCTGGCAGATGTCTCATAATAAAATTCCTTCCACTGTTATTTATTACTGAGTGAGGATATTTAGAACAACCCTCCCAGTCAATTCAGAGAATTCAGTATATCACTAAGTTTTCTTCTACCTCATAGCATCATTTAAAAAAGAAATTTTCATTCATCTTTTTCTTGCTTTTTTCACCCATGTCCAAAACAAAAGAGCTAAACCTGCTGATAGGTAACTCTTGAGTTTCTTCCCCTTTTCTGAAGATTTTATTCACCTTGGCCAAACAGGCCATTCCCTTCGCTAGGTCTTTTTAAATTCACAATATGTGTGCACAGTAGCTTCCCTTTCTCATGAATGAAGGTTTAAAAATAAAATTCACTTCCCATTGCTGTGAGATGTAACATGTTTGCACTTCACAGCTTGATGTCACCCTTTGCAAACAAAATTTTCCCCATTGGATCCTTTGGGTCATTATGAATAGGACAAAACAAAATACAGTAATGCACTTTCTAAACCATGTCTTATTCTTAACATCAATTAGCCTTTATACTGCAGGCAACCTCTTTTCACTGGTGTATGATTACTTAGGGAGTCAACAAAGGAAGGAAAGTTTCAAACTTTCAGAAAGGATTTCCTGAAGACCCAGGATAAGAATGCCAGTCACCAGCCAGAGGTATTCTTTCTCCTTGGTGAATAATGCTGCTCTTTGATTCCAGCTAAGGGCAGACTCTGAGAACTTCATAGATTTTCTGTTTCATCAATTCAGATTTCATCCATCAAGGAGACCCAGGCCAAGGGCTCAGAGGTCAGTCCTGACCACAACAGAGTTAGGCTGATGGGAGAAGAGAAAGAGGAGAGCCCCACATCAGCTTTAATTCACTCCTTCAGAGAGATCAGGGTTTGGAAAGTTGTGCTGAAACTTGAAGGGGCCTGAAGAACAATAACCTTTTGTGTCCTTTCAGGAACAATCCCTATTTTATTTATGCCTTACCTTCTGATTTTCACTAAGTTCTGGACCTTGGCCATGTTCTGCTTAGCCTGGCTTGCCTATGATTGGAACACTCACAGTCAAGGTAAGGAGAAGTAGTAGACCAGTGGTACTGCCTGTCTGTGACAAATAAAAATCATTCCAGGGCCTAGAGGAAGAAAGAGGTAGATCAAGAGAATGGAAGAGGTAGAGAGAAGAGATGAGGCGAGAGGGATGAAAAACAGCAGGGAGGAAGAGAAGAGCAAAGCTCAGCAGAGACAGAGGTCTCTGTCATATTGCCAAGAAAAAATCAGGGGGTTGGGTTTTCTAAGGCACATGACCCCAACCTTAGGCTGTCTCCATTTCTGGCTGGTTCCTTATGCCTTGGGGATTGGATTCAGAGCTAGTATCTATATGAGGGGGTACCAAAAAAAAAAACTTGGATTTTTTTCCAAAGTGATGTGTTTAATTATTTTTTACCTTATCACCTTCAAAGTACTCTCCATTACACGTAATACATTTGTCAAATCTGTGATTCCATTCTTGGAAACATTTTTCAAACTCATCTGTTTGGACAGCTGACAGCACCTCCCTTATTTTTTTTTCACTTCTTTTATGTCATCACATCACTGTCCTTTCATTTCCCTCTTCATGTCGCTTTTGTTTTGTGGAAACAAAAGGAAGTTGCACAGAGTGAGGTCAGGTGAGTAAGATACTTGGGGCAAGAGAGACATATTGTTTTTTGCCAAAAACTGGCATCCTGCAATGGCTGTGTGAGCAGTTGAATTGTCATGGTGGCAAAACCAGTCCCCTGTCTGCCACAAATCAAGCATTTTTGTTGTACACTGTTACACAATCTTTTTAGAAGATCTAAATAGAAAACTTGTTTATCGGTCTGACCTGGTGGAACAAACTCCAAATGCATTACAAGTCAACATTTTCTGTCTGTTCAGGAAGTTGACGGATGTCCAGAATGAGGTTTGTCATCAATCAACATTTTACCTTTTTTGAAACAAGAAAACTACTCATACACTTGAATTTTTCCCATAGTGCTCTCCTTGTAAGCTGTGTTCAACATCACAACAGTTTCTGTGACATCTTTCCTGAGCAGGAAATAAAATGTCACAGCTGCATGCTGTTCTCTTAAATTGGCCATCACAAAAACAAAACAAAACAAAACAAGGTTTGAGTAAAATTGCTTTTATGAAAAAATTCACTGTGACCAGAGAAAAGCTTCCCAGGTGATGCCACTGAGTGCACTAACTCAGAAAGAGTTCCTTGGAAATATGAGTACTATGAAAGCTCCTCTGGGTGGAGCTTTTTCCAGGTTCTGGGGTATACCCTCTCGTATCTCTAGGAAGGCCTGGTGGTGCAATGGTTAAGCCCTCAACTGCTAACCAAAATGTTATCAGCTCTAACCCACCAATAGCTGAAAGAGAGATGTGACAGTCTGCATCTTGGAAACCCTGTGGGGGTAGTTCTACCCTGTCTTTTAAGGTTTCTATCAGTTGAAATCAACTCCACATCAAGGGTATGTATATCTTTGAGCCCTAGAAGTAGGGAAGTGTGATAAGGAAGCCCTTTCTATGACCAAAGGACTTCAGGGGGAAACCTTTACTTCTGAGAGAGAATAGAGAGATTGGCATTGGGCCAGCTATTCATTCCTTTTCTCTGTACCCATAGGTGGTAGGCGTTCAGCTTGGGTACGAAATTGGACACTCTGGAAGTATTTCCGAAATTACTTCCCAGTAAAGGTAACTACCCTTCCTCTGGGTGCTCAGTTCCTGTTGCCCATACTCTTCCTCTTTTCTCAGCTTCAAGTTTGCAAAGGCTTTGGTAGCCAGCAGTGAAAGTCAAGGCCCAAAGTTTTGGGCAGATGTTCAAGATGAATGGCATGCGGGGGTGGGGGTGGGGCATGTGGAAAATAGCCTTTCCTCACAGTGGAAAACTGTATCTGAGGTCAGCCTTTCTGAGTATCATGACCTTTGGCAATCATTTGATCATGATGACATCCCAATTAACATGGATTTGGGTCTCCCCAAGGAAAACCAGAAGAAAGATGAGGCTTTCTATTCCCTTAAAGATTTGCAGTCTCTAAACCCACAAGGGCAGTTCTACTCTGCCCTATAGGGTCACTGAGTGTTGGAATTAACTTGATGGCAGTTAAGGGAAACAGGCTGACTTCTGGGGCTTGAATCTACATCTCCAATCTTCCTTCTTCCTAGCCAATATTCTGACTCAATCTCCTTTTTAATAGCTGGTGAAGACTCATGACCTCTCTCCAAAACATAACTACATTATTGCCAACCACCCTCATGGAATCTTTTCTTATGGAGCCTTCATTAACTTTGCCACTGAGGCTACTGGCTTTTCTGGGGTATTCCCAGCCATCGCCCCCTCTCTAGGAACTTTGGAGGGGATATTCTGGATACCATTTGTGCGGGAATATGTTATGTCAATGGGTAAGTATAAAAATCATCCTATTCTCTGATCCACCTCGGGGCCCCAGCCCTCATAAGCCCATATAGTTCAACTCTCATTCTCTGCTTAGTAGAAAATGACTCTGGAACACACTGAGCCAGGATTAGAGTACCAAGTATCAACTTCTATCCAAGATTTGGGAGGCAGGGTTGGGCAGCAGTGTAAGTTATTGGCATTACCAAGAGTCACAAAGAATCCCTTTAAAAGGAGGAACCAGCAATCTTGAAGCCAAGGTCAAGCCAGTTGGAAAACAGAAGGTTAAATCCAAGTATCCGACCCAAATACAAGGGAAATCAAGCATGAATGGGGCTTCTCAGAGGAACTTTGCCTGACTTTTCCTGGGATGTCAGTCTGGTTCTCTTGGTTACTCATTTTTTATAGCAGTTCTTATTCCACAATGTCTTAAAGATATTTTAAAATATAGTATGCCAACTTGTATACTTGTGTTTGTGGCGCATGCACTTCATCTCCTGGGAAATTCTCTACCCTTGCATAAGACACCAAGGAATAAAGGAGAGGAAGCAGAGTTTAAGACAGCTTCCTCATGACACACCTTAAGCCAGAGCATGTGACAAATATCCTTCTTTTTGATGAATACCCATCTTTCTGGACACTAGTAAACAACTGAAACCAAGCGTGTAAAGATAAGGTACAGGTTTCTGGAAAGACCAGGTGAGATAATTTGAGTCCCTGTTGTTCGTTTATGCTTCTTTCTGAAGTTTTCATGGCTCTGGAGTAGGGGCCTCTTAATGACTGAGACATCATACTATTTCTACCATCAGGAAACAATGGAAGACCATTCGCATTGGACAAAAATGGGAGATGGTATGAACAAAGACCATTAACCATTGTTGAACAACAGGACACCACCTTTATTTTATTGTTCACCTGCACTTCAATTTGGTTTTGAGTATTCTCCTAGGTCCACCTACTCCAGAAGCCCCAGCTTTGGCTCTACTTAAGCAGATTGTCTTAGGGAGTAAACAAGTTGGTGGTTGGTAATCTTTGATCAGAGTGAACTCTAGAGGGGCTCTGGTGCTGCCAAGTGAGCAGAGTGGAGGATAGTAGTGTTTCATTGGTAGGAACAATAGTCATGAAACAGAATTTTCTCCAGTAGGAAGAGCTGACAGGAAAGCCTTACCCCATCCTCAGGCACCAAGTTTGTTATGTCACTTGGCTCTTCGGTTTCACAGGTTTGACTCCAGTAAGTGAATCAGCTTTGAATTACTTGCTGACCCAGAAAGGCTCAGGCAATGCAGTAATTATCATAGTAGGTGGAGCTGCTGAATCCCTCCTTTGCCGACCAAGAATCTCCACCATCTACCTCAAGCAGCGCAAAGGCTTTGTGAAGTTGGCAATGAAGACTGGGTAAGTTCTGATGTTCTTTTGCTAGGGTCTCATAAGCCCTCTGTAAAACTTCTCTGGGATGGCACCCTTCCTGAGAAACCTGGTTAAAGGAGGCCCCTTTCACTTCAATCCTCATTTCATTTAGAGCAAGAGTTAATGGCTTTATACTGTGTCCTAAGTGTGTTTGGAGCGCCAGACACATTAGAGTGGTCACCTTTCTTACTTGAGGTTGGAGGAAAAACAACAGAAGACCTTTTATGTTTTGTGAATTAATCTGGCTGAGGAACTAGGGTCGGTGAACTTGACTCTAAATCAAACTATTAACCCATTAATCTATGGAGGGCCTGCAACGATGAGGATCACACGGGTAAAGAACACATGGTTATTATCCTCAAAGACCATACAAGCTGGTTTGAGAAGCGGCATGAATTTTTTCAGCAGTTATTGAAATGTCAGGCATAGTATAGGAAATAAGGATATAAATATAAATATAAATAAAACTTGATCCCTGACTTTAAGGAACTCATGGTCTAATGGGGAAAACAGATGGACACTCATATAATTACAAAATATATCCAGGGCCCAACTGCTTCTTACCACTTTGATTAGCATCCCCCGGTTAAACTACCATTATATCTCCCTTGGATTAGTACTTCCTAATTGGTCTCCCTGATTCTGTCCCTATTTCCTTCACCTCAATAATCTATTCTCAACTGCATCCAGAGTGATCTTATTAAAACCTAATTAGATGATGTCACTACTAAAATGTCCTTTTACATCCCCTCACAGAAGAATCACAAGCAAGGAATGAGGTAACCAGAGTGCAATATAGCACCGATGAAACACACAATATTCCTCTGGTTCTTTGAGGCTTCCTCACCCCACATTATCATGACCCCAGTCCTGCCTTTCAGTTCTGGCTGGACAGGAGTGTGTACACTGGTACAGATAAGAGCTCAGGCCACATGGAATCCAGGTCATATAAACCCCTCAGGAACAGAATTGAGACTAGCAATACCAGGAGGGTAGGGGAAAGGTGCAGGGAGGAAGGGGCAAAGCACAATGATTGACTCATAATCTGTCCCCTGGGGAGGATGAACAACAGAAATGTAGGTGAAGGGAGACAGCAGTCAGTTTAAGATATGAAAACAATAATAATTTATAATTTATCAAGCGGTCACGAGGGTGGGAGGGAGGGGGGGGAAGGGAGCTGATACCAAGGGCTCAAATAGAAAGTAAATATTAGAAAATGATGATGGCAACATATGTACAAATATGCTTGATACAATTGATGTATGGATTGTTATAAGAGCTGTACGAGCCCCCAGTAAAATGATTTAAGAATAAAAGATCGACAGTCTAGGAAACCCAGCACAGGGTCTCTATGAGTTAAAATGCACTCAATAGCAGTGGATTTTATTGACAAGAAAAGTTGAAAGATTAGATAGGAACCTTAAGAGGTGGTGAATTGATGTTAATGAAGGAGGAATAATTTTGGAAAAGAAGATGAAAATAGACAACTGGAAGAATGTAATCAGTTACTAAATTGTACATGGAGTCATTGCTTAATTCATATCTGAGGTATATATGCTCAATAAAAACAAAATAATTAGTAAAATTATACATATTGTATAAATAAAATAAAACTGTCCTTATGACTCCCAGTTTACTCAGAGCAAAAGCCAAACTCTTTACAAGTGTTTGCAGGACCCTAAATGATCTAGTCTCCAGCCCATCTGACCTCATTACCCCCTTGCCTGCTGTGCTACAGCAACAGTAGCCTCCTTGCTGTCAAACAAGCCACACACTCCTGCCTTAGCGCCTTTGCTCTATTTCTTCTGCCTAGAATACAAGTCCTCTAAATAACTGCTTGGTTCATTCTTCTACCTTCTTCAACTCTTTTCTCAAATATCATCTTCTCAATACGGTCTACCTTTACCATCCTGCTCTATTCCTCCCCACCCCCATTTCACTTACCATTGTCTCAATCTAATCTGTTTTATTTATGTAGTAATCTTTATCGTTTATTGCTTATCTTCCCTTTAAGAAGGGTAAATTCCATGAGAACAGAATTTCTGTATTGATATGTTGTATTCACTGATGTATTCCCAGGGCCTAACACAATGCTGGCACATAGCACATAGAAAGAACTCAAATATTTGTTAGATGAATTAAGTGTTGCAATGGAAATATGTTCAATGTGCTATGAGATAACTGATTGATGGAAAGATTTTGATGTGTAAGTAGGTGACGTCTGAATTGCAAATTGAAATATTAGTAGGAATTATAAGTCAGCCCTGTGACAGTCCCTTGGGATTCAAAGATAAATAGGTAAAGTTTTCATCTTTGATTGACTTGCCATCTACAGGGTGAGTCAAACATGTAAGCAGAAAATGGCAATAGAGGATTATGATAGAGTTAGTGTCAGAAAGAGGAAGCACTAGATAAGAGGTTCTTAATCCACACTAAGGAGCCCTGGTGGCATAATGGTTATTAACCATTGGACTGCTAACCACAGGTGAGCAGTTAGAAACCACCAACCATTCTGAGGGAGAAAGATGAGACATTTTACTGCTTTAAAGAGTTAGAGTCCCAGAACTCCATAGGGACAGTTCTACCCCCTCCTGTGGGGTCACTATGAGTTGGAACTAACCTGATGGCAGTGAGTTGAGTGAGAATCTACACTAAATAGATTAGAGGTAGTCAAAGAAAGTTTCTTCAAGGAAATGAAATAGGCATTGAGTATTGGACAGCAAAATAGAATTAGCCACATGGAGACAGAGGGAAGGAGTTACAAGCAGAGAGAGCTTTATAGATAAAGAAACATAGGTAACAAAAGGAAGGAAGGAGAAGTGACAGAGCAAGAACATAAAGGCCACACTAAGCAACATAGTTGATTATTCATCTGTCATACTATGGTGGTTTGCATGTTGCTGTGATGCTAAAAGCTGTACCTCTGGTATTTCAAATACCAACTGGGACACCATGGTGAGCAGGTTTCAGACTAAGACAGACTAAGAAGAAAGGCTTGGTGTATTGAAATATTAATCAAAATTATATCTCAGCCCTGTGGCAGGCCCTTGGGATTCAAAGAAAGTTTCCATCTTTGATTGGCTTGCCATCTACTGGCTAAGAATGAATAAAAAGAAAGACTTGATGATCGGCTTCCAAAAACTAGCCAATTGAAACCATCGGGATCACAACAGAATATAGTGCCTTAGGTTGAAAGGCACTCAAAAGACACAGTGGCCACAACAAGGGGCTAGAACATACCAAGGATCATTAAGATTATCAGGGTCCGACAATGTTGTTTTGGTTGTTGTACATGGAGTTACCATGAGTTTAAGCCAACTTGACAACTAACAATAACAAAGTTGCTCTAAGCAAAAGCATAATATGCAGTTAGGAAGAACGCTTTGGATGTTGGATGCAATGAAGTCAATTAGATAACCTGAGATTAATTTCTTCCCATCATAGGACAAGGAGGAACAGCTCCCTTTAATGAGTTCAGTCTGAAGAACAGGGTATGGCAGGAATGAGCCATGAGGTTAAAGATGCTTGGATGCTTGGGTTCTTATGCTGTAATGGGAGGAATGGACAGTTTTCCACCATAGAGAGGGTTTTGCTGGGATACTTCTTTGGAAAGCTCATACTCTCACCCACTCTTTGCAGGGCATACCTTGTCCCTTCCTACTCCTTTGGAGAGAATGAGGTTCACAATCAGAAGACTTTTCCTGAGGGCACGTGGATGAGATTCTTCCAAAAATTCTTACAGGAAAAATTCAGGAAAATCGTGGGTCTGAATTTGTGTGCCTTCCATGGACAAGGCCTTACTCGTGGATCCTGGGGCTTCTTGCCTTTCAATCATCCCATTACCACTGTTGGTGAGCTTTCCAGTACCTGCAGACCAGCCTTGCCCTTGTCCTTGTCCTTGACCCTCCCCTCCCCAGACTGTCCAAGTGCCAGCAGACAGAATCATAATGGAAATTCCAGTGGGTGTGATTGATTGCAAAGTGGGAGAACAACTGAAAAATTAAGGAGTATGGCCATTGGAAGAGTGGAGGAAAAAAATCAATTGCTGCTATTATAGCATTATTATTTATACACATTGTTTCAGCCTTCTTTGGAACTCACTATCATTCTTTTTAGAATAGCATGGGATTATGTGATGGGAGAATAAAAGACAGGCTGAATCTGGAGCAGAGAGAAATAAGGAAGGAGAGAGGCCCCAGATACTGATTTCCAGTACTCATACCTGAGGCATGGATAGTTTGGATAATAGGCATGGAGGTGGGGAAAGGAGGTAGGTCATGAATGCTGACACTTGTCTCTTCTTCCCCATAGTTGGGGAGCCGGTGCCAATCCCGAGGATTCCAAAGCCCAGCAAGGAGACGGTGGATAAGTACCACGCACTCTACATCAAAGCGCTGTGTAAGCTATTTGACCAGCACAAAGTTCAATATGGATTCCCTGAGACACAGGAACTGACAATCATATAACAGGAGCTTGACTCCCCTATTACTGAACCCATAAAATCATGAGGCATCCACGTAGGGTCACAAGGCAAGAAGGCTTGGGGATAGGGAATTTCAGGGGAAGTAGATTTTTTAATGTGGCTCTTCTAGCCCAAATCTCTAATTCCCACCAAATGGCCTTTCCCTCTGTGGGTCTGGTAAGAAGGTGGGGGGAGGTACTGATAGGATTTACCTGTGAGTAATTAAGAACAGGATTCCCTGATGTGTCATCCTGCTGTGTATAAAATGAGCCCTCTGAGAAGCAGAAGGAAGGATCTCATTACCAGCGAGAGCCAGTGAAATTACCAGCGAAATCTCTGCAGTGAACCTTTTGGATCCAGATGACAGCTATACCATCAGAGGAACAGGAGCAGAACCAGGAGCCAGAGCATGAACTTCCCAGAGTGATGAACTTCTCAACCCACGAAGCAAGTTAAGATTGAGTGCTTTTGTGCAGGAGGTTGGGTTGTGGAGTGAGGTGCCTCTGGATACTTAATTCAGGGAGCTGGTTTTGTTGACCTATGGAAGTGGAGCTGAATGCCTTCAGGTTGAGGCTTACAGCAGAGTGGTATACCCCTTTGAGCATTTATCAGCAGATCTGAAACTGGTACACAACTACCCTGGACATTTCTAACTGGCATTACAACTGGTTAACTTCCTTAATAAACCCTCTAATCATGAATTTTGTCCTGTGAGTTTCTGTATAGCCATTGCAATGAATAGTAGCACCTGGAGATAAACTATAGAACATTAAGTCATCACAGGAAGGATCCAGGGAGAGTCTTAAGAGATGATAGGAGCCAAGTCAGAAAGAACTCAATCAGTTCCAGAAAAGAAATTCAATTCCAAATGTCTGAGGTAGGCTGTAGAGAAGAAATTAGCAGGGTGAAGGAGAGGGATTGGAAGTGTTGGCTAGCACAGGAGATGGCTCTTTCACCCTTGGCTTTGCTAAGCAGTTACCCTGTTTAGAAAGCAAGGTCACCTTTTTGCAAATATATAAATATATATATATATATGATTATACATTTTACACTATATATTATATAGTTATTGCTGATCAGAGTAACAAGAAGTCAAAGAGCACTGTGTCCCTTTCTCTTAATCCTTAGTGAAATCAACACTATTCAGGTTTAGGTTTAGAGCCCTGTCTGGGACAAGGGTGGTTTGTTTCCTCCAAGGTCCTTTATTTGCAACTGGGGCACTTCCTTAAGCCCTTGACTATGAACTGCTGTCACAAGCAGTTAGGCGTAATAAGATTCTAGACAGCGACAAAACATTTGTACTAAGTTATGCTGCTTTTCTATAAAGAATAAAGCTCTACATTTAAAAAATAAATAAAACAAGATGTGACAGTCTCCTAATGCTCTGTGGTTCACTTCTGAACAAGCTCCTCACAGACCTAAGATTTTTCTCTTTTGGCCAGAAATATAGTCTGTGGGGAGCTATATTCCTCTTCTCCATCCACCACATTGCCCCTGACATATTGTCCTATATCCACATAACTCCTGACAGAAAGGTAAGAGAATAGAACTAGAGCTTTTGTACCATGTAGAAGAGAAGCAAAACCACAGAAACTGCCACAGGTACCCACTGAGTACCCATCGCTCCTGATGCCACACAGCTAGGTATGAGGGAGTGTGATGAACAGCATTGGAGGTAGACATAAACAACCTCCTCTGGCTTCTCTATTGCCATGAGGCATGAGTCAGACATGCCTTCATGTTCCATCCTTATTACCTATTGTGATACCAACAGTTCCTGCCTTGCCACTCTGCATCTATGCTGGCTTTGCTAATTCGTTGTAAGGGCTACACCAAATTCATAGATAATACTCACAATTAAAGGGTGCTATTAGAAAATTAAATAGGTTATCACAGGTTAGAATACAGTCATTGATCTCCTCAACCAGTAGCCAAGTTTCTCTCTGGTTTTCAGCCTCTCAGCCACATGGTCCCTTGGCCTTTGCCTCCATGGACCAGGAAGGCAGCCTACCTGTCACTCTATCCCACACTTCCATAGTCTCAGGCCACATGAGAAGGTATCCCACAGTCTCAGGACTATTACTCTGAGTCTCCATGCCACCATATCTAATTCATCTGATCTCAGTGGCCTCTGCCACTTCAGACAAAGGTCTTGCACTTGCTCACCCAAGGTCCTCAGAGTTTCTCTGTTTCTGCTTCTGCTTCAACGATTATTGATAGGAGCTATTGTGTTAATCTGGGTAGACTAGAGAAACAAATTCAGAGACACACTGTATTAGTCTGGGTACTTTGGAGAAACAAATCCACAGCAACTCACGTATAAGAGAGAGTTTTATGCAAAGAAAATGTGCATCACGAAAACATCCCAAC